TCCTGCTGAGTGTTTCAAAGAGGAGGAGTAATAGCCTTTTCAAAGATCTTTCCATAAATGCTCTGAAATGTCATTGCTGAAATTGTTGGGGTTTTTCTAAGCAGTTTATTAATTGGTAAAATATTATACTTTATGAATATATGTATAATGCATATAATATATGCTTTTGAATATAGGTAAGTTCTTTGTCCTAGAAATGTTACTTAGTTTGTTTCTAAAATTAATCAGTGATATTTGGCTATGTTTATTTCTCTTTTTCAAATACATATTTGGGTCATTTTTACAAATGAAGGAACTGGTATAAGGTCAATGAATTAGTAAATTCCCAATTGTGAACACTTGTTGAACTCTCTTGATAAGTCAACTCCTTGTCTTTTGTTGTTGGAAGGAGTTAATGTTGAAGTTTGTTTTCAAAAGTTTCAGTCTTCCTGAACAAAATTATTATTTCACGTGTTAGCTCATTCAAAGCAGACAGATTTCTGTGGCTAGGATGAATGCCATTATTTTGAGGTTACAGGTTTTCAGCAGAGGGCAGAGCAGGCACTGATGCAAATCTGTGTTTCTCTGTGAGGAGGCACAGGGGAAGAATATCTAGATGATGCTTTTGTGAAAGTGGTTGCTTGCAATAGGCCAGACTCCATGACTCGGGAGGATTTGAAAGAAATTGATGTTCTAGTGTTTAAAAGACCATGCTGTCTATCACCAGGATGCAGGTTCTTCACAGCACTAGCCCAGCCTTTCTAAGCCATCAGAGACAAGAAAATGGGTTTTGTCCTGCTGCCTCCAAGGGCTGGGTAGCCTGTCATGCTGTTGAGCTGATAGACTGCTTTTGCCAGTGAGATAATGCTTGGCTCCTGTCTCAGGACAGAACTCTTCGGCCAACAGATCCTAGCCTTTTTTCTTCAGCACTTCACTTCTGATTCTTTGGATTTAGTAGTGCTGATTCAACAGAGAAACCGTGTCTTTCTGCATCCCTTAGCACCACGGGAATCTTTACAGGGAGGGACTTTGTGAGGTTACTTGGTCCAGGCCCTCACTCAAAGCAGGGCTGTTCCTGGGAGCAGGTGAGGTCAGCCCAGGAGAAGCTTTGGAGACTTGCCTGGCTGAACCTTGTCTTTGTAAGTACCTTTCAAGTAAATGAACTTCTCCCTTAGATCCACAGTTTCCACCAGAGGCTTCTCTATTCCATAGGGGACTGCATTCCTTAGGCAGTGTCTGTAAGTCCAAACAAAAGTGCACTCCCTAATTTCAGGCAAGGTACCCCCACAGGGTTCTTTCTGTTGACCTGTGACTCTCCTTCTACAGATCCTCTCACTGTCTTTTGTGGTCTTCTCATCCCCCACATCTTGCCTGGCTTCTGAGGGTGTGTAAAGGGGCTGCTGGTTCATTTTAAGGAACTCTTAGCTTAAGCCTCCCTTGCCTTATTCAGTAGGGCACACAAGTGAGGAATCTGGGATTTTGTACTCCTGCAAGACATAGTGAGTGCTTACCAAAATCTTGTCTTTTTACATTTGAAATCCATTTACATGCCTTTCTTTCATCTTATCTCCAAGTTATGGACCAGAAAATACTCAAAGCGAACAAATAAAAGCTTTAAACCCCATTGCATCTGAATAACAGTAATTTATCCTGGAGATGTTTTCCATCCTTCAGACAATACAGAATTTATTAAATTTTACAGCATAACTTGCTCAGATTTATTGATTTAAATGCTATCATTTTAACGCAAATTTATCTCTGGTTTTAACTTCATAGACTTCAATGAAGTTATACAATGGATCTTTCTTCCCAGTACTTTATTTCAAAACATTGGAAAGAAAGTTTCTTGGACTCTGTTTGCATTACATCAGCTTTCTCACAGAAAGGATTTTCTTTTTTTTAGCATCCTGGATCAATCTAAAGCCTAGGACAAATATAGGATTCATTAAATGCCATTTGTCTGAGAAACAGAATAATAAGATTGCACCATGATGTTATGTGGTTGAATATCTATCTTTTTAGCAGCTAGGACACAGGACCAGGATTCAGGAAGCCATTTGGCAAACATAAAATTAAGCATTTAACAATTCTGTGCCTCACATTTTCCATCTGTAAAATGGGGATAGTGATATTTATTTCTTTGAATAGCATTTCTGATTTAATGATCTATGATTGTCATTACTGCTGTTCAGAGTGGCATCAACTCTGTTCCGAATTGGTTATAATTAGAATGTTTAGTTGAATGAAAGCAATTATAGAGCCTATATGCCACAAACAGTTAAGCCTATGATTAATTTTATGTCTGTAAGTAATTGCTGTTACTTCAGTGCTCACATGAGTAAAATTCAGCACATTTGAAGTGTTTGCAGGACTACAAATGGAAAGCTTTAAGAAGAAACCTTAATTCTTAAACAGAAATAAATAATAGTAGATGGCTCAGGGAAATTTCCAGGAAATTAATTTTAACTGTATGCTGTGGCATATTGTTGGGTGAGTCTTAATTTGGTTCACAAAATTTGATGTTACAGCCATTGATTATAAATATTGGCTTTCATATCGCTCAATGTGTTTTTGCAGAAAAGTAATCCTTCTTTAAATTTTGGCTACAGCTCAAAAGCTTATTGTTAAATATGTTTTGTTAATAAGAAGCCTGACTCATAGCAGGCTGTGGTGTGAATGAACCAGGGATATCAAACGGACCTGTTTCTATTCCACTGCCAGACCAATTATCTTTAGAGCTTGTTTAAGAAAGGATTCATTTCACCCATTAGAAATAGTTTCTGTTTTTACATTGCAAGGGTTTTGTTTACTGTATGATGACAGCTAGTTATTCAACTTTACCAGGGATAGGGAAAAGTCACCCAAATATATGTTGAAAGAGATTCTTCAGGAGCAATGGAAAGCCACAGGACTGTGCAGATGTGCCAGATGTGCATCATGAGAAGCAAGTTCTGGACAGCTGCAGTTGAGGTGCAGAGCAGCAGTGAAGCCCAGAGCGAGCTGGGGTGGGGACAGGCTGGTGACCACGGGCTGTGATCAGATGCCCCTTGGCTGCCACCTGGAACAGAAAAAGCCCCACATGGATGCACACACAGCCTGTTGCAGTCTGAGAGTGGAAGAGCTTAGTTCTCTGGTACCATTTTGTTTTCCATCCCTCAGTTACCTTTACTTCTCTTCTTTATACAGTTGATGGTTTGGACAAGGCTTCAATCGCTAATTCAGATGGACCAGCCCCAGGATCCCAAACTCCCCCCTTCAAGAGGAAGGGCAAACTCTCCAACATTGGCAAAATCTTTAAACCTTGGAAATGGCGGAAGAAGAAGACAAGTGACAAATTCAGAGAAACATCAGCTGGTATGTCTGTGTCCCATTCGTGGCAAATAGTAGGAAACACTATGATGGTTTTGCAGAGTAATATTTGAAAAGCACTTTGAGCATGTTAGATGACAGGGATTATTTAGGCACAGTATTTGACACATAGAAAACTGTTTGATCCTTAGCAAGGGAAAACTTAACCTTGTTCAGTTTGTGTCTTGAACCTATAACCAAAAATATGCAGCTTATGTGTTTTGCTATGCGTTATATATGATACTCTTTTGCTGTTGACAGATCTTTATTTTTTAACTAAGAAACACTAGGCTCCTCAAATATGTTGGAAATGTCTCTATGTCCTCCTAATAGTGACTTGGATTGTGAAACAGACCTTGCCTTTCTGGGGTCAAAGGTTTTGGAGGAGAAGCAGATGTAGCTGTGCCCAGCACAAGAATGAGGATAGCTCTGCAACCCCTGCTTTTATAGTGGCTCTACCCCTTCACTTCCCCATTGACAAGGCTTGAAAAATGGTCTGAAATAAAATGGTGTGATCTAATTATATTTCGCCTGAAAAAGAGGAATATTGAGGGCTGGGATTCAGTTAGCCAAACATAGTTGCTTGGTGCCACTGAGATGCTCTCCCAGAAGGTTTGATCATATTTGCCATGTGCAGATATCTTCAAAATCCTGGGTCATCTGAAGTGGCTGTAGACACCCGCATTTAGGAAACTGAATGCCACCCTGCATATATGTGTGTGTGTCTTCATGTCACAGCTCTAGCCAAGCTTTCTCTACCAAAATCCCAAACTTTTCTTTTGGGATTCAGACATTTGATGTTGTGCTTTCCTAAACTTTAGTCTAATTAGAGTCCAGTGAGCATCTGCGAGCTCTTCATTGCCATAGTCAAGCTGTCTTGTCTACTGTCTTCAAAGACCATAGTAAATAAAACCAACACTAATGTCCTCAAGTGTTTTCAGTAGGCTTTCCTGAACTCTTAGAAGTAGACTGCTTGAATCCATAGCAACCTCTGAAAATTACAGCAAGGAGCCATCTCCTCTGGTACCTTCTTCACTCCAGATGCCAGCTGGAGTTTCCGAGGTCTTCAAATCCTTCTCTTTCTCCTTTGTTTGTTTTTCTTTGTTTGTTTTTCTTTGTTTGTTTTCCTTGTGGGGTTTTGTTTGTTTGTTTTTGTTTGGTTTGGGGGTTTTGTTTGGTTTTGTTTGTTTTTCTTTGTTTTTCTTTCTTTGTTTTTCATTGTTTTTCTTTGGGTTTCATTGTTTTTCTTTGTGTTTTCTTTGTGTTTTCTCAGTGTTTTCTCTGTGTTTTGTATGTGTTTTTCTTTGTGTTTTTCTTTGTATGTGTTTTTTTCATTTTCCCACACATCCTGCAGCAAACCCTCTGCAATTTCTTCTACTACTGCAATAGAAAAAACCACTCCCCTCAGTCTGATATCTCCTTCACTGCTTCCAGTTTCCTTCAGCTTCCCCAGTACTTTTGTCTCATTGCTATTTCTAGTTAATGACTACTGAATATTCTGCAGCTACTCCTGGACAGGTATGTGATTTTATATGCAGTGAATTCTTGAAAGAAATTACTGTTCATAAGCTGTATATACAGAGATTGCCCAAACTTTCACAACTTACTAGCATGTGCCATTTTTCAGTTATTTTTTACAAATGAGTATCTGGTGAATTCATGTTAAATATGGTGTTTCTTTTGTTGTACTGTCTTTTGAGGACCTCAGTCCAGTCTTACAAGCATGACAGGTGAATTCCTATAATAGCAAGGCAGAGCACATAGAATTATAGAATCATCAAGATTGGAGGAGACCTGTAAGATCATCAATTCCAACCATTAACCTGCCACTCTGCTGGAACCCCTAAACCATATCCTCCAGTGCCTGATCCAGACACCTCTTAAACACTTTCAGGGATGGTAGCACCACCACCAACCTGGGTAACCTATTCCAATGCCTGACCAACAAGGAAATTAAGCTCAAAGAAATTAAGGCCAGCATTTCCAAAAGTGCCTCCTTAGTTACTTGTTTGTACTGAATTTGCTGGTCTTGTTTATGATGGTGTGGTGCTTCAAGATAATAATTTGCTTTTAAACTGTGTGTGGGGTCACTTATGTTTGTGTATGTGCTTCATGTGAGGCTGGAATTTGAGAAATAATTTGGATTGCATTCATCCTGCCTCAGATGGTAGTTTCAGGGAGGGGGCAAAAGTAGTTTTGCCTGTATTTCTTGAGGAAGTAGACCCAGGACCAATGGAGACAGAAAATGCATTCACATGGCAAGTTGCCCCTTGTTGCTTACTTACTGACACAGGAGAAGAAACTTGCTTATCCCACTTGAGAAAGAAATGGGAAGACATCTGTACAAAATAAAAATCCTACAGGATATCCTCTTCCTCAGACAACTCTATCAGAGATGTATTTACATTACCAAATGGGACTGTGAGTGCATGTTACATGCAGGAAGCCCATTTCCTGGCCTGAGACCATGGGAGAGAGTATGATGATCCTCATTTATTGCCTGTTCCCTTAACAGGACTACAACTTGACAAATCTGTATGCAGCTAAGAAAGTTTCTGCTAAGACAGAATGCAGGCTCTTGGAAAGAACTCTTGTTGCTTTCTCTGGGTTTTCAATAGGTTTTTTGAAATAGGTTCTTGCTACAGCCTTGCCAGGGCATGTACCATGGAGTGCTTTTTGTCTTACGAGCAACTGAAAGATGTTCATAAACAAAAAATACCACAATCTTCAAAAAAGAATGGAGGGTTAGATGTAGAAGTATCTATTCCAATGTGGGAATGATGGTTGGAATTTTTTCCTTTAGCAACATATTTTCCACGTTGTATCTCAGAAAGTCTGTTCTCTGGGCACTGGTTGTATGCTTTTAGCCTGGAGGGCTTTCAAAATCAAGAAAAAACAAATAGAAAATGGCACCATCTCAAGGATTTCTTTCCTCTGCAATGTTTTGCTGTGAAGGGAAAGAAGGCAGCAGTTTGTGTCTTGGCACAAAGTAGATGCCACTTCAAAGCTCCACTGCAAAAGTATACGCAGACAGGGAGCAAAGGCAATTTTAGCTCTTATTAGGTCAGAGAAAAATTAATAATCCTAATTCTCTCAAACTTCTCTCGGAAGAACAGAACTTAAATACTGGAGAATCACCCAGCACTTGTTGAGTCAGAGAATGAGTTTTAAGGCTACCTGAGGTTTGCAGCTGCTGAGCATCATTAAGCAGCCTCTTTTGAGGAGATGAGGAAAGATGGAAACTTTTTGAGGTAAACTGTACTTATTATTACTGTTACTATTATTTGCATTATTTGGGCAAAAATGCAAATGTTTTTGGGATTCCCTGGAGGGGACTAAGATTTACTCAAGTCAGTGAGGGCTGCATGCAGTATAATACATTCACATGGTTTCTGATGATTACACCTGAAGTCAGGGCAAGCTTTGCTTTTGACTGCAGTAGGGCAGTATTTTGACACGGGATTTTTTTAGTCTTCTGGACCATCATGTCTGGAAGTGAAGCCTGTCTGCCTCATCTCAGCCTTCCTCAGCAGACAAGGACTGATAGCCAGTTATCCTCACAATCAAGACTGACCTCTTTGTAGTAGGTCTCAATACACAGAGGAATACAGATGGAGAAGTTGTTCTTTCCATTTTATTATTCCTTAATGTTATAAACAGTATGTTGCTGTTAATGTTGAAATGTTCTATATATTCAGAAAATATTTGTAGTAATAACATCAGCTGGGGACTCCTCCCAATTGCACTGAGCTTTAAGAGTTTCCATCTACTCAGCTGAGCTAATTACTTTTGACTACTGGTACGTTTCAGTAAGCCCTCTTAAAATAATAGTTACAAAGTCAAGCATTCAGAGGTCAGGAGATGTTTGAATGAAGGTTGTTGGGTGTACAGGTGGTACAAAATACTTGGCTGTGTAATGTGAAATATATTGCACAGTCTAAAGTCTGTAATAAGCAATAAATTTTAATGATGAGTCCACACTAGCTAAATAGCACCCAGTATAAGTTCCTAAGTGTTCAGGCTACTCATTCCTCTTGTACAAAGGGACATATTTTTGGCCACTTTGATTTAAATTAAAATTCTGCTTTTTTCTTTGTAGGAATTAAAATTATGCTACTTGTAGTGAATGCTAGCATGGTTTCTAATGTTTTTTTTCATGGGCCAAATAATATTTAAAATAAATTATCTTTTCAAGCTGAATTAATTGAGCTTAATCAGTTTAAAGAAAAACACCACTCATGGCTAGCATTTTGGATGATGAAAGACTGGGGCTTAAGCTTCTTATCTGTTCACAAATTTTCTAATCTGTGAAATGGAGATAGTTAAGTCTCAGGATGTTACGAAACCTGTGTAATTTATAAAATGCTTTGAGGTCTTTCAGTGAAAGTGTAAGGAGTTCATGTCTTTTAATGCCAATTGACATTTTCCATGATAATTAATTCAATACAGTTGTTAATTCAGTGTTGTAGAACTGAATGTGACCCTGAAAACTAGAGAGAGACATTGATGTGGGGTCTGATTCAATGTTCTTAAGCTTGATGGAAAGAGCATCGTTGTTTTCAAGTGGCATTGGATTGTCCCACAAATAGATTTTTGAGAGATCATCTCATTTCACTGCCCACAAAAAACAGATGTGAAAAAGAAGCAGAGAGAAAAGCAGTAAGAATTAAATAATGCTTCTAAAGCTGAAATAGCAATAAAAGAATATTTATATTGCCAGCAACAAAACAAGTATAAAGTACGTGCATAAAATGTTCATCCGTGGGGTCTGTGTCAAAGGAGATTTCACTCTGCTTGTGAATACACCTGCTTTTTGGAAAGACTAAGACCCTGAACCCATGCCTGCCCGTGTAGTCCTCTGTCTTCCTCACCCCTCTATCTCTCTTAAAACAGTCTTTGTGGGACATGTTCCCCTACATGTAAAACTCTTTGCAAGAGTAGGGCATGCTCCTGTGCCAATGCATGACACACAGTTGCAAGGCACGTACCTTGAAAAATAATGGGCAAAAACCTGGAAGAACTTGTGAGTAATTTAGTTTTGGGACCCAAGGCAGGCTGACCTGATTGCAGTTCAGGCTACCACTCTGCCCAAGGAAGTTAGCTTATATTGAGCTTGCAGCCACACCCATGGGCTCCTTTATATTGTCATATGTGGCTTGAATGCTGTGAAGGTTTGACCTTTAATGGACAAATCCCACAAAGTACCTGCATATATAGACAAAGACCTAGTGCCAACTTATATGTTGTTGAGCCAGTACTGTTTGCATTTGTGAGCTCTTGATCTTTGAGGCATAAGTAGCTTGAACTGGGCTGGTCAAAATGTTTACCTTCTCCAGCTTCTGCCAGGAGTTGGTGCTATTTTGGCAGGGAAACACATCCTATGTTGGGCAGTTGCTGAATCCATGCACTTTGCAGTGTGAGAAATAAACCTGGTACTGTAAATTTGGGAAGTGCAGAATTTGAGGGGCTTTTTAAAGAGCATGTAGTGATAGGACAAGGGGGAATGGCTTCAAACTGAAAGAGGGCAGGTTTAGATCAGGTATCAGGAAAAAAGTCTTTACTGTGAGGGTGGTGAGGCACTGGGACAGGCTGCCCAGAGAAGTTGTTTATGCCCCATCCCTGTAGGTGTTCAAGACGAAGTTGGATGGGGTTTTGAGCAACCTGGTCTAATGGAAGATGTCCCTGCCCATTTCAGGAGGGCTGGAACTAGAGGATTTTTAAGGTCCCTTCCAGGGCAAACCATTTGACAATTCTGTTCAACCATCCCTTTCCCTGCTGGAGAAGGGAAGTGGGAAGCTGTAAGCAGTGATGCCTTCAGGTATCCGAAGTAAGCCAGCCTAGTTATGTCAGCAATTGGGAGTTATCTGCTGGGAAAGATGGTTTGCTGTGCATGGTAGGCAGCTTTCTGAGAAGAGGCAAACTACCTCTCTCCTTGCCTTCGCAGGAGCCATCACTTCACTGTATGACTGAGTCTCTCCAACTGGGCTGGCACAAGTGAGATTGATAATACTTCTTGCAGTATTTAATCTGCATACAGCTGTTAGACTGACCTTAGAGAGTGTTTGAATTAGCTGAGAAGATAAATATCCCTATCCCATAGCATTAATAGGATGAAGCCCAGCACAGCTGAAGCTTCACCACATGCCCTCAGCTTGAGCTCCAAATGTTGCTTGGATTTTGTTGTCCAAACCAGAATCAGGATGGGAGACTACCTGTCCTAACAGCGAAGATGGGATTTTGTAAGTGATGCTCACATCTTATGGACCATGCACCATGGTCCCGTAAATCATTACAGTAGTCTCCCAGATCACTGTATTGGTTTGGGGGTGAGGTGCAGTGTGGAGCTGTTCTGTTTTGACATCTGTAAATGCTTTTCCTCATAAAACTATTTAGAATTTTTCCCATAGGGAATAAACATAATAATTAAAGTGCTTCATGTCAGTGTTTTATTTTGTGTGTGTTGTATGCTGCTTTTTTTTAACCTAAGAACAGGATGCTGCATTTTTTTCCATGGAAGCCAACCAGCGTCGATGAGGATGTGTTCCTTTTAGAACAAAAATCTTTGGCTTCTGTAAAAGTTTGTATTTGGATTTTATTCCCTTTAAAACAGTTTGCGTGTCACAAAGGCTACTCTGTGAGCTGCTTGCTCTGAGTAGGATTTTTCTCTTCTAACTCAAAACTTCTACAAAGCAGATCAAGGTATCTCCAGCAGAGCTAGTCAGCCCAGTCCCTGGGAGAGAGATGCTTTTACAAGATAAATGCCTATGCTAGGATGAGTTCAGTTTCACTCTGGTAGTAACTTTTTCCATTGACTGTAAATGAAGCCTCAAGGAACCTCGCTCAGATGAAGTATTGGATCATATAAGTCATCACTTTCTGTGCCTGACATTCTGGGACAGTATTTTCAGAAAGTGTCTGTGAAAACCCAGACCACTTCTGCAGAATTAGAGGAAACAAGATTGCTCAGAGTTTCTATAAAAAAATAATATTTTTCTACATTTTTTCACAAGCATCAGCAGCATGAGAATAAATCTGTTCTTAACTGTGCTTTTTCTTTAGTGTTGGAAAGGAAGATTTCGACAAGACAAAGCAGAGAGGAGCTGATAAGAAGGGGAGTGCTGAAGGAAATGCCTGAGCAAGGTGATAACACATTAACTAGAATTTAGCTCCTAAGCATAAATATGGATGATAAAGCTGCTATTGCGTTGTTTCCTTGTAGTATAAATAGGTATGAGGAGTACAAGCGGTAATTTGGGTCAGCTGGCAAAGAACTGAAGTTGGAGTCTGCTGTAGGTACACCAGCTGACTGCTGGTCATATCCAGAAGTATTTTGATGCTTCCTGTAAATAATGTGACTTCTGTGGTTCCTACTTATTTTTTGCCCTATTTTTTTGAGTTAGTGATAAACGTATTCTGTGAGTCAAGATCTGCTTTATAAAGCCACTGGAGTATAAAATGAGAAATTTTTGCTGAAAAACTAGAGGCCTTGGGACCCCAAGCAAATCAGCATGATCCATTTCAGATATCCAAAAGTACCAGTGCTGGGATCCCACTGCTGTCACACAGACCACGTTCACAAATGGCACAAACAAAAAACTGTGGGGAAGATACCACTTGTTTCAAAAGGCTCTTAAGGTTTAGTAGCCAGAATTTGTGTTTTGAAAAGCATGAGTAAGCCAAGGTTAATACCTCTGTGCTACATCCAATTATGTTTGTAGTAGTATTTTCTAATATTCTTGATCATCTATAAACCAGATCAAATAAAAGTCAAGTGAGTAAAATAATTTTCTGTAGCTTAAAATTAAACCATTTGTCATTTTGTCAAGGAGTTCAGGAAGTCCATGTTTTCTAAAAAATATTTTTCTCCTAGAAGTTGTGTTGCTCTGCCTGATCTGAAGAATCAGGAAAGTATCAATGTGTATGGTTTGAATCGTACACATAGATATTTAGAAGTAAAGGGCTTGTTTGTTGACATGTGGCATCATTTGTCCTTACAGTGTTTCACTGATTACCAGACTATGGCATACAGCATAGTTGGCTTCTGCACTTGTCTCTGCCACTGTCTTTGACTTGAAACAAGACATGTAAACTCTCCATACCTCAGTTTGTACATCTGTGAATTTGTTGTGGGTTTTGCCACCTGTTTTACTGGGGAGCTGTCTGGCTTTGTCCATTGAAGGTTGTAAATTGCATTTAGATGGCTGGGACAGCTAATGAAATGTGTTAACTTCTCAGGTTGGTTACAGGTTGAACATAAATACTTTAATTTATGCTAAAAGTATGAATACTTTGGTCATCAGTGTCCTTGACCCTTTTTTTCCATCCTTAAATTGGGGTGGGGCTTTGGATCCCTGACAGAGATTGAGCAAAGTGAGAAAAGGATATAAAGATGAACAATTTCTTCCTCCTGTATCAATGTGGTCTGTGTTACCTTCGTCACATTTTGATTCATGTCTGATGAAAACTACAATTTTTAAGGACTGTTTTCAAAGAATATGGGATTGGCTTGAAGGTGCTAAAAATGGAGGTATAGGGAAGACAGTGGTTGAGCAGTGTGAAGGTAGGTAGAAGGAATGACTACGGAGATGAAAGCTAAGTGAGGAAATTACATGGAGTCTTGAAACATGAGAGGTGAGAAATGTGAAGAAGTGACAATGTTTCACATGGGATGAAAAGGAGACCAAAGTGAAAAGTAGCAAGTGCCACTTGTTTGCAGAACCAAGACATGAATGAAAGGTGGCAGTGTCACGTGTGGAGGCAGAGAGGAGAGGGTGATTTATGAACATCTGGAAGAGAGGAGCTGAAGAAATGGAATGTTGTGGTAAGGTAAGTGCAACTGTCAGCTATAGCGAATGAGAAGGCTAGGAAAGCAGAACTTATTTTTTACACATCAGGTTGATGCTAGTGTGTGGTTGACAATGAAACCATCAGCTTAACTCATGGAGCACCCAAGGTGGCAGAAGAGAGGCTGCATAATTGTGTTGAAACCAGGGAAGTGCCAAATATCCAGGTCTGATAACACACAGCAAGGAAGAGGAGAAGAGAGGGGAATCACCACAGTTAGTGAAGAATCAGTGGAAGAAATCAGAAGAGATGACAGGTAGATTCATATCATTTCTGGTGGACAGCAGGAGAATCTTGAAAAAAGGAATTACCAGAGAAGAAAATCAGCAGCAACTTTAAAATTAATGGAATAGAGAAAGCTGTAAGCCAACAAGAGTATGTACAACTTCTCAGGAATATAGAGGCAAATAGGGAAGAGAAAGAAGGTTTCTTCAGGATTACAAAAGCCCTTAAATTGAGGTAGTATGCGTAAGTGCGTGGACAGCAGGAGAATCTTGAAAAAAGGAATTACCAGAGAAGAAAATCAGCAGCAACTTTAAAATTAATGGAATAGAGAAAGCTGTAAGCCAACAAGAGTATGTACAACTTCTCAGGAATATAGAGGCAAATAGGGAAGAGAAAGAAGGTTTCTTCAGGATTACAAAAGCCCTTAAATTGAGGTAGTATGCGTAAGTGCATAAGGTCAGAGCTGGGTGAAAGAGTTTGATGCGCAAAATTTGCATAATTGTATGATATGTCATACAGGAAGAGAAGACTTCACCTTGGTTCTTGAGATTGGATAATGTCTTTGTGACCTATTTTATTAATTAACTGGGCACACACACTCTGAGAACTTGTGTGAACTCCTGTCTGATTTACCTACTGGGATGCACTGTCCCCTAATTGTCCATTGCTGGGCATGCATACATTTCTTTGCTGTGTAAACCAAGATGCAGGGAGGAAGAGAAGAGGGTGCTCATATGTACAGACATGAAGCTGTACTTGAAAACTGACATGCAATTCCAAGTCCACTACTGCAGAGGTGTCCACCCAAAGAACATGGAAGCCTGTGGAGTTCCTTTACAGCATTACTTTTCAGAGCAGATCTGCAGCCTGATGTTTCACATTTCAGTAAATCTTTCTGCTTTGCTTCCTTGGAAACTTGAAAGCAGAGGGATGCTGTGTGTTGTCAGTAGGTGCTAAGTAAGCAGTTAAACTAGGCAATAGCTTTTTACCTTTCATTTCAGATGGTGATGTAACAGTAAATTTTGAAACTTCAAATGGACACACCATAGCGATTGGTGAAGAAACCATACAGGAAGAAAATGTGGTAAAAGCCAGTGGAAATAATGGTACTTTGTCAGAAAAAGCATCAGCATCAGAAGGAAAAAAAGAAGATCAAAAAGGTAAATGAATGCATTCTTCACAAATATTTGTTGCCTGCTTTAAATATTAACGTTTTCTTCCATTAGCACCAATACGTGCTGTGAGTTCTGTTCTGCCACAAGGATGCCAGCAGAACCTGCTGAGAAGATAAGACTTGTGAAACATCAGTATTTCGTCACTGGTAGGCATGCCTTTTACTGTGCATATAGTAAGGCTGCAAAGAGAAGCATGATACCATGAGCATGATAATGTGTACAGGGATGTTCACTTTCTAAATTCAATGTGAGCATTTCCTTGTAGCCATGGGCAAGCCTTGGTTTCAGGTTTTCCTCTTGTGAAGGAACACACTACGTGCATATGCATCGCCTTGCAATATCATTGTAAAAGTGGCCCAGGGGTTGAATGTTCAAAAGTGTTTAAGCCACTTGAAAACCATGTCTCATTTTGTAAGTATCTTCAGCAACTCATCCCTATTGGTTTTCATCAAATCTTGAACACTTGCAGTCCAGCTCTTCAGAAACATTCAAGGGCTAATATCACTACACCAGTCCTAGGCCAATTTACTTATTAATAGAGTGTTTTCTATAGAGGAGTTGTAGCAAATACTGCTAAATATCTTGCAGTCCCATATATCAGTTTTGTTACCTTTACTCAGATCTGCTTTGATAGAGAGAGTTTAACTGCATAAAGGAAATGTAAATATTAGTGCAGAATCACAGGACTTGGTCCAGGACTTTGGACAGGACTGGTCCAGGTTTTGGACCAATTTTATTTTCTTTCTCTAACATCTTGAATAATGTACCACTTCTTTTCCCTGTAAAAAAGGGTTTGTAAATATTATTCCATTTATTGAATTTTCCTAGGGGAAAGAGCAAGGATGCAAAAGGTCAAGAACTTCATGGCTGGCTGTAGGACTGAGCAGCCTTTCCAATGCCTTGTATTAAACTCTACCTAGTGATGAATGAGCCCCTGGAGGTTGAGAGGGTCAATTCGGCTAGCACAAAAATTTGAATTCTTCTTTGAGCTACGTAAATCATTTGACTATGTAAAAAGTCACTAGATGTCCGAGGAGAACAGCCTTTATTATGAGACTTCTAGTATTTCCTGTCTCCCAACAAGACAGAAATACAAGATTAGCCTTTGTCATTACATTTAAATACATCTATCTTTTCGTGCCAACTAGAACCAGATGTGTATTGGGTCAGGAGAAAAGAGTATAAAAGCCATGGAAAACTCCATTAAAATGGTTCAGCTTAACTTTGGGGTTACATCAGACCACTTATTATTTTATGCATCACTAAATACAGCCTTTTGGAACTGTCAGGTCTTGGAAGTTTTCCTAAGGTACAGTTTATTTTAGAAATACACATTTCTGAGTATATTGAAATTCCCTCCAGCTGACTTTGCAGAATGTAGAACTACAGCGAAGCGGGAAAGGTTCGATATCTATTTCAAACATCTTATTAGAATCTGCTCTCCTTATGTATTGTGTTGACCTTACAGGGAGAAATAAAAAATGAATGTAGTACAGGACTAGACTCAGTACAGAAGAATGTGTAGCTATTACTCCAGTCCTTCTCAGAAAATGGAGGAAGGAGAAAGAAAACAAAAAATGAGCAAACCTGGTATTCTAGGCTTCATAGAATGTCAATCTGAGCGTGCAGAAGGTGCAAAACACTTTAAGTATTCTTTTCTCTTACATCTAAACATGAAGTTCTTGTATGTGGGTAAACACCTGGAGTCCCCTAACACAGAACAAGATAGATTTATTGTAGAGGAATAGTCTCCCCAAAAAAGATGTAAGGATCACTTCCACACATCAGAAACAGTGTTAGACTGTGCAAACCCAATACAACTTACCAGGTAGTCATTTTGATTACACTTCAGTTATTCTTTATGTTATAGCACATTAAACAAGAAGGTGAATCAAAGTGTTCCAAAAAATGCATCTCAGCCCCTGAAGGTTATGAGGTTCTTGTAAAATGCTTTTTGGAAACGATGGTGGTCTTACTTGCTTTCTTGTTCAAGCAAGTCTTGAAAATGGCCTTCTCATATAAATATGATGATGACTGCTGGAGCTGGAAGCTTAAAAAGAACAAATGATGCACACACATTGTGATAATATGGTGAGAGATGGCAGCAACACGTTGCAGAATGTGGAATATGTTAGGAGTTAAAAGAAGTTAAAGGAACAAAGTTATTTCAGCATGAGCTGTGGAAATACAGGGCAAACAATAGGCTTAGCCATGCAATATAAAAACGAGTTAAGCAGAAACAAGTGAAGAAGACAACCTTTGAAAGCATGTTCCCCGTGCTGCCAAGCAGTTCCATAAATTGTATACCCATCTGCTGCCTGTCAGCTCACAGGTGCCTTTTGTATTTGGTGAAAAAATTCCCTTTGGCAATTTAATAGTGTAACTGTTACTGTTTGTAGTAATGATGAGATGTCAGTCATCCAAGCAGGGTGCTTAAAATGAAATTTCTCCTTTATGGCAGGATAATAAGAAACTGGTGACAGTTTTACATAAAACGTGTAATTGATAGATAAAGCTTTGCTGATGTGAAATCAGGGAAATCTTTTCCTGAGATCATTTATTCACGTTATATTTGTGCTGGGTTGGCTTCTGAATTGCTTTGTTTTGACTAAGAAAAGAAGAGTCACTAGCATCTCTTGCAGAAAATTATCTGTGAGGACCCTGGAAGGGACACAGAGCAGCAAGTAGACAAGCAACATATCAAAATACACCCTGGTTGTCTGGGCAGCAGTCTGAGCTGTACCACGATGCCAGGGCTCCTGGCCCATGGCACTACCCTGCAGTGGCCCCTGCAGTCCCCAAAGCACCAGGTTCCGTGTGGGATATGAGCATGGCAAAGGGGATCCAAGGAGTCTCACCGCCTCCTGCCCCTTACAGCAGTGTCGGAGAAGAGTGCCAGCCATGCCACTAGAATAGGTGTCAAAATTGTCACTGTTTGCCTCCCTAGGTATAGGGACATAGCATGGTGACACAGCATGTGTGCTGGTACTGTGCCAGAGCCGCTTTTCTCCTTTCCACCCTCCCAAGATACCTCTGGCACACAGATGTACTAGAGAACTCTGAGTTTGTATCTGAGTTCAGTTTGCATACTTAGGTCTTACTCATTTTTATCATAGCATGCTAAATATTTTGATGGTTCTGGTAGATGCTTCTACATTTCATTGTTAGCTTGGGCTTGAAGAAGTGAAAGGCTCAGTAACCATTGGCAAGATACTGCCTGGAGAAAAGTAATAAGAATGTTTGTTTTGCCTACCATCAGTCAAGTGTATTAGGTGCCTCTTTGATTAATAATTACATTGCAGGAAGCCAGAGCTCTGTTGCAGGTGCTGTGGGTGTTGTGGGTGACATGGAGCATAAGCAGATTGATCCTCTCAGGTTTTCTCATGTCCTTCAGTGAAGGAAACAGTTTGTAGCCCTGTTTCCAAATGCATTAATTGGCTACACATGCATCATGGTTTTTTCCCCACAGAATAACTCTCATACGAGAGCCAGCAAAAGTTCCAGGTCTTAGGGTTCAGAGGTCCTTTTATAAATATATTTTGTCTCCTCTCTTTAAATCTGCCATTAAATTAGTTTATTTTTTCTTATGGGTAGCCAAAAAAAGAGAAGGCTGGAAGAACAAATTGGTCTTATGAACATGCATCATTGCTGACCAACACTTTAGTTTGTCTACCAAAGAATGTTCTTCAAAGTCAAATTTTCTTGGTTCTTTTTCTCAGAGGTCTTTTCTTTATTTCTCCAAAATAGAACAAAACCTGTTGAATTTAAGATAGTAACCTTCATCTTCCAGGGTCTCAGACAAGAACCTGCTTTCTCTCAGATGATTAATCCTGCAAACTAGTCTCTGTGAGAGATGAGATAGACTTTCTTACCTCTTGTGTGCCTCGCTGGCTTCCTACACTTCTGAGCTCTGCAGATCATTGATATGAGCAGCATACATAAAAGGTGGTGCGTTTTTTTTGCCCGACTCCCTAAGAACCTCTCACTCCATCTGAGTTATTTGCTGGCTAAAACCAGTTCTTCTAAGAATAGTTTATCTTCGATTCATCACCTGAACTATGTAAATGAGGCTGAATCCAAGTCTTCTTAAAAGGAAAGCAACTCTAGATAAAGCCGTGTTTGGGCAGAGCCTGGCCACTAAGTCAGCTGGCTCGTGCCAGTAGGCTGACGTGAGAGGCACAGGCTTTCACCCACAAAAATTGAGTGCCAGAGGAAAGCTCCTGACCTGTAAAGTTGCTGCTTTTTTTTTTCCTTATCGGAAAGATATCCTAACATGGCTCCAGAAATAAGATTGTAGACATGATTTTAATGAACTAGCTATTGAATTATTTGAGCAAATCTTTACAGAAGTATAAGGGGATGTAGAAGTCTACATGTGTTTCACCTTCCAAGTCTCCCATAGATCAAGAAATGGCCAAAGTATGCAGCTGACAGTGAATATGTTTTAATTATCCTCTCTTTTTTAAACAGCTTACTTCTTACACAAAGGTTGGGCAATTAGCAATGTGAAATAAGTCAATGGAATTTTTACCCCTTTTTTATCTTGCAACCAATCTAAAGTATCTGAACATGGTTGCTTTAGGTCAGATGTTGCACCTGTCCCTTTCTCTCCTCTCCTATTTTCTGCACTGTCTCTGTTACAAGATCTCTTGCACACAGCGCTGTTGAAATCACAGATTTCCAGAAAGATCTGGAGGTCTGCAGACGTGCGGGTCTGCTCATCCATCTTCAAGAAAGATGAATTCAAAACCGCAGAGAGAGCTGCGAACAGCATCGTGAGACAGCTGTTCTTGTTCAGCCTAGCAAAACAGAGCCCGAGTGAGCCTGAGTGCATTTGATGAATCTAGCAAGTTGGTATATAGCCAGGAGAGAGCATGGCTAAAGGACAATGCTGGCACAAGTAGAAAGGAATAAACAGTGGCTTGAAATACATTTAGACGGAAAATTAAAGGAAGCTTTCTAACAATTAGAATGGGTCTTTTCTCGAACAGAATTTTAGTAGCAATAACAGGAACGAAAAATGGAGCTCGTTAAATCTGAATTTTATGAAAGGACTGGTCTGAGTTGACCACCTGCATCAGCACAATCAATGAGTCCAAAAAGGAGACAAAAGCCACCTTGTCTTGCCCTGTGTCCCGTGTTTCTGAATGACAGCTTCTTGGGTTTTGATTAATCAAAATACAGCTCTCTGCATAGTCTGGAAAGGAAACTCATGGTTCACAAAACTCTTATTGAGTTTCATTTTGCAAGGGGCCATCCTGCAAAAGACAACAAATCATACATTATTTCCAACTTCCATTTTACATAGTGTTGCTCCACTGAGTTGTGTTCATCCTGCAGGAGAAGGTTGCTTCACAGCTGATGCAGATCATATGCTTGTGCTGCAGCACTGCTAGTTTTCTGTGAGCTGCTGGAGCTGTGGAAACAAAAATAACAGTACAGTATGACAAAATCCTTGGATAGAAAAGCTTTGGCCTTCCATTCCTTAGAAGTACACAAGAGTAAAGAAAAAAATTCATGTATTTTGCAACCTTGCTTCTGAAACTATACCCAGGATTTTCATAGGTCTGTTTAGTGCAGAGTTAGCAAAAGGTCTCACTTCTAGTTTGCAAGATAAGTAATCTGATTTTCCAGTGCATATGGCACTCTAGCATCTCTCTGAAAGTCTTTGAGACTTTCTGAGTACCCACAGGAGCTGTCATATACTGAGTACTTTGTAACCCTGACCATCATTTAGGTGTTTACATGAGAACAGAGCTTTCTTAAGAGTCTGGCCTCAGTCACAAATTCTGGAAACAAGAAAATCTGGTCCCAAAGTGAGCTTTCTTGAAAATCTAGCCTTTGGAAAATTTATTCTAAACATAAACATATTATTGATCCAAATGTTTAATGAGATATTAGCATTTGCTTTGCTTTCCTGTTTAGAGTAATTTATAGGCGGGTTGCTTTTACAGCAGATGTCTCGATCAAGGCAGCAGTGGATAAAAAATATTCCTATCTGATTTGTTTTGGAGACCTTTTGCTAAAAGGTCAGTTCTTGATGAACAGATGTCTACATTAAGAAAAACAACAGCAATAAAAATATGTTGTAGCTGGTACTGAGGTATCAGGGGGATTGGCTTGAACAAATAGATGAGTTTGAACTGATTCAGATGCCTCATTGTTTTGGCAAAAGAAGGAGCAGGCATGAAGACCAAGGGTCCATGTTCAAGCAGAATCGTGTTAGGGAGGTACAATTACAGCATAATTGTATCTGGAGCCATTTACAGACTTCAGACCATCCCTGTCACTGTTCAAGATCAAGCCACTGTTGCTGTTATTAGTTATTTGTATTATTACAGTACTTATGTATATACCAGGAATTTATTATAGTATCTTACATAGATGCAGAAACCCACAAAAATTTCCAATGGACTTGCAGTAAAAGAAAGGACACTGTGCTTAGGTACTGGATAACAAGAGGACACCAGACCACGATAACAAGCACAATATCAGCAGCCTAAACATTGTCAGCTTTGGCATCACAGCAGAGGGGAGCTGGAAGGGAGGACAGTCAATGAATGTTCACAAAGCCTGAGGGGCAACAGAGGAAAAGCAATGAAAAGTGTCTGCTTGAAAACTTGTGTTGTCACTGGCAAAAGCTGTTATAAGGGACTGGTCAGGCAGAACTCAAAATCGGTATCTGAAGTAAATGAGAAACAATAGTTTGGGCAAGAGCAGATTGACACAGAGATACAAAAGATGAAGCTAACAAGAATAAAAGCAACAAAGCTAAAAAGATGCCAAGAGGAACAGTGTGGTCAAAGGCAATTGTCTTCACCACAACTGGCATAGTTCCTCCTGGCTATGAGCAAAAAGAAGTTCACTGATCAAGGCCAAGAAAAGGGCATGTACACAGTCAAGGGGCAGTCAAGACTGGATGAGAGCTGTAACTATCTGAGCAGGTAAAGATTATATCCTAGTGATGGCAAGGCATTTCTGTTAAAATCAATGCTGTTAAAAGCAATGCTATATAAATTGCAAGTTTTACTCACAGTTGAAGTCTGCAAATAAGAACTTTGATATGAATTAATCTTTCCAATTTTGGTTTTCATTTATAGTTTTTAGTTATTTCTCTAGAGAAAAATTGAAAGTTATCAGTTGGTTGTCACTAAAATTTGTTTATTTGCAACTAAGTAAAGCTTTACCCTTATATTTTGTTAGATTTAGTACATTTTTTTCCTGAATCAGAAGACAAATTCTGATACACATTATTTAATCAGTTATACAGTTTAGTGTAGATTGACTGACAGACTAAATAATTGCACTGTATTACCTGAATATTGTGAATGGTGTATTACTTTTTGCTAGGTTATCATTCTGGTTTTAATATTTTCTCTGCTAATATGACTGTAAACAAAACAGTTTTAAATTTGTTCTTATTAATAAGTAAAATTTTAGCATGTTGGATCCATAAGTAACAGGTGTATCCAAGAACTGTTTACACTTTAAATTATTTCTGATCATCATGTCCTTCAAGGTCTTCAAAATATAAAATCATATCTTCTCTTGCCATGTGTGTGATTAATGGAATTCAAATTTTTAAATGTCCTGCTTTTTCTGAATTAAATCAGTTTTTCAGCTTTGAATGAAAGTAGGTAGAATTTCACAAGGAGACATTTTTTGCTATAAAAGAGACCAAAATGTAACAAGTAAGTTACTTTTCTTTCTTCTTCCAGAGTCTTTCTCTCATCCAAAGTTCTTTCTCTGGAAAACATAGAGGTGGTACAAGAATCTGTGCTCAACTGAATCTGTTTGAAAGCTGTAAAAGGTTGCTATGCAATGGTTCTTCCAAAACTTTAGCAAAAGATATTAGTCTATAATGTGCTGGAAATAAAGGAGGAAGACACTGGACAGTTAGTGTTAATTCCTTCAGTTCATGAAGAGACACATGTGTGCATGTTGCTTTCAATAACTGCAGGTGATGCATTAGGTTCATGTTAACAAGCCTTAAGCTAAAGACTGGAAAGGCTTTGTTTCTGAGATAAAGAATATCTGTGTTGTCCAACACATTATTTGTTTTTCATCTGCTAAACTTAAAATTAAAATGTGCTGCTTATCTCTTGGGAATCTTTTACATGAGAAGGAAAAGAGATGGGAACGGCCATTTAATGTGTCTTAAGAGTGAGGCTCTAATAGGAACATACTGCAAGAAATGAAATGGTTTTCTCTTGAGTGACACAAGAGACTGCTACAAGTCCTTGCAGTATTTGCTTGTCTCCTTTCTTCCCAACCATTGTACTTTTTAGTAACACGCAAATAAAGCCTATGAGATTATGATCGTATGTTCTGGATTTTATAATATCCTTTTTCAGAAAGGAAAGCCTATCTTGAGACTGACTTTTGAAGATAACTTCCTGGTCATCCCTACTTACCATCCTTTGGTTTGTGGGGCACACAAGCCACGTTTCTTTTGGATAAAACTAAGTCAAAATATGCACTCAGGAAATTGTGCTCCCACCACCACTAGTCATGCAATCTATGGAACTAGCTGGAAGACAGTCCAAAGTCAAGTGCTACCTCTTTCACTCTACAGGGTCATTCCTATTGCACAGCACAATGTAGATAAAGTCCAAATTCTTGTTGACTGGTGAACTGTTGATTCTTTAAAGTGCAGTTGTGTAATAGTACCCCAAGAACATGCAGGAGAAGAGATCATTCCCATGCCAAATTATATCCTATCTGATTTAGCTTCATCTGTTTCTGAAGAGTAGAAATATCCTGAGGAAGATAGTAAAAATGAAGTTGCTATGAGCAAACAATCTGCAGCTTAGGAGAATGGGTTGCTTCAGGGAAAAATTTCAGTTGCATAGCCATATATGAACCAATGGTTGACAGAATGGCCCTGTTCACATTCAGATTCACATTCAGATTCACCCACCTCTTGATCTCAGGTGGGTTCACTGAAAAGAAACTGAGGAAATTTGTTGGAGTAAATGGCATTTCTCTTGTTTAGTTTGCAGGCAGCAGTGTAATTTGAGACACTGAATGCTAAGGGTGATCCTTGGAGGTCAGAGATAGATGGGATTGAGAGAAGTTCCAGGTAAAAATCTTCCATGAATTGAGATGGACAGTAATTTTTTTTCTGAGGTAGAAATTTCAATTAGAGGTAGAAGATGAAGTCTCTCCTGATTCCCAAGGGCTCAAGCAGCAAAAGTAGTCACTGTTGTGAGGTTTGTTATGTGGCGTATGTCTGTGTCAGTTGGCTTCTGTTCACTTTCTTATCCATAGAGAGCACTACTGATCACTGCCCAGAAATACCGACATCCCATGCTCCACCACTACCCAAGCCTAAGCCTAAAACTAAAAAAGCTCCACTACCACCAAAAAATGCCATTGCTGCTTCCACCACTACCAGCCATAAGGGTAACGAAGCACCTCATGCTAAAAAAAAGGGAAAGGCTCCTGCTAAGCAGCCTCCTCTCCCACCGCCCAAGCCAACAGGTCACAGTGCAAGTCGAGAAGCTGGTGAGTACTGCCCATGCAGTGCCAGTTATGGTGGGTGCATGTGCATGGGGATGCTTGGCTTGGTCTTATGATAACTTCTGCCTTTGTACATTGCAGTGTTACTGAAGAGCATGCCATAGATATTTTTAACTAGCTTCCAGCTGAGCTCTGGTTCTGCTGTCCACAAACACCCCAGACAACAGACAGACCACTTTGCTGTTTGTTGACTGTATGCACAACACCAAGCATATCAGAGACAATATTGAATTCCCAGTTTAAGTGTGAAAGCTGGCAACAAAATGACCCAGAGAACTGCTGAAGAATCAGCTGGGAAAAAGGTGACTTCTGAAACTAAACATAAGTTACCCCAAAGTAAAACTACTTTGTTATTGCTGTAACTTTCTGCTGGAAATATCTGCTATTCCAATTGATTTGACAACATAACAAAATTGCAAAGAAGTAAAGGATAAAAGCATTAAAGACTGTTTAGTAGTAGTTGTTTTAGCTGTCAAAAAAATAATAATTGTAACCATTAGAAATGGCAAGGCTTCCCTGAGCTGGTTGATGACTTGCTGTGATTCTAAGTATTCTAAGTACACACTGGAAATAGAAAATGTCAATCAGCAGACACATAGCATGTGTTTATCACCATGCTTTTAAATGAAAATTCAGAATGCTAGATTAAAGGTTATAGGTAGATGTCCTTAAGGTACTGATCTTGAGTTGGTTGTAGACAACGCCTGAAATAAAAACATCCAGATACAATTTGAACATAAGCTGTATTGTGATGAGGGGACTCCATATATGCATTGGCAAACTTATACAAGCCTTGTGTTTTCAATCCTCTGTCCATCTTTGAAAGCCCTTCAGTCCCTCCAGTTTTCTCTGCAAGCATGCCTCTTCATAGCTTGTACATTTTGGCATGTTTTGTATTTGAAGCATACAGAAGAGGACTGTTTGAAAACATTGCCAGACTTCTAGAGTTACAATAATAACTTAGCCATAAAATATCCATTAACTTGGTATTAACTGTCCCTACTACATCAGACAACTACAAGAATAAACATTTTGAAAATCCAGAATTTGCTGGTTGTATTTCACATGCAGCTGGAAAACTCAGCTCTTTCTATAAGGAAGAAATCTTTTTATGGCAGATCTTTCAGAAATTAAAAAATCTATCACTTAAAGTAATGTTTATACCAGAGGTTGGTAACAAGCTGTCAGGTATCTGACTTATTAAATTAAAATGCACCCAGATTCCAGATTTGTCTTTTAGTAGCCTTGCTGAAATGTCATGCAATGCTTGAGACCATGTGGGTGTAAAATATATCCATGAATGCCTTATATAATAGTACCTTTTATACTAGGAATTTCTTGCAACATTAAAAATACATTGTGTTCATTTAAAGTGAAGCAATACTTAATAAGTAGAGCTGATTGGGAAAAGTATTTGTACAAGAGCTTTGTCAGATCTCCATGAAAGTGAACATATCATGCTGCCAGTGATCCAGTTCCATAAAGAAGAGAAATGTGAGTAACAACTGAGCCTTGGCTCTCCTGAGAGCAACACAGCAGGTTTCCAAACTGAAATACTGGAATTTGGAGAATGGTACTTAAATGTAGGCATGGACATGTGCCAAAAGCCATGAAATTTTTCATTTAATCAAAATTCAAATCTTTGACTGAGAAAGAAGCATGACAGAAAATTGTCAACCAGCCCAGTCAAAAGCAACAATAGCAATAGCACTTTTGACCCATGTAGAAGTGTAGAGGGCTTTTCAGTGGGAGAAATCTCTCAAGTTTCTCTATCTAATTGCGGGTCCAGAAAGGTTCTGAGAATAACGTAAAGATTATTACAATGGAAACATCTTTTGACATTTTCCCAGCAACAATTGTGGGGTTGTATATTTGTATTATGCTGCAGTTCTTACATGCTTACACTTAAGTGTTGACCTCCAGCCTGCACTGAAGTGCTCTGCTGGATCAGAACCAGAGCCTTTTCTTCTACCATCCACTTCCTCAGTAAGGTTTCTGTTAAATAATATGTGGGTTGGAACCACCATCTATTTCCACTGCAGTTATGAACTGCTGCCTGTACCATTTCTCTGCTTCATTTTGTTTTGCTTGTAAGTTAAGTCAGTGATTTTTACCTGATGTGGAAGATTAATGCAGTATCAGTAGATTCACAACAGTGCCCTTTACAGTCACCTTGCAGCACAAAGAGCAATTTGCCTGAAGTTTCTGTGGATTTTTCCAGATGTACCAAAAGCCTCACAGCACTCTAAATGTTTGTGAACTGTAACACTCGGCTACAGAAGAGAACAGTATAATGTGTCTTTTGAATTATTTTCCATCTTCTTTGAGTTTGAGAACACTCTCACTGTGAAAGCTATTTTTATATCCTGAACTTATTATGGCCAGTATCTGTATTTTGGTTCTCTCCTAATCTGCCAGGGTTTTGTTTTTATTTAAATGCTTATAAGTAAAGTAGGCCTTTCAGCAGATTTCTGTTACAGCTTTCTGTTTCACTGGGTAAGCTTAGCTGCAAGGCTGCTGTGTAGCTTTATAATGCTTTCATTTGTTCTCTGGAGCTGCGTGTGTTTTTACTGCAGCAGAAGTGTTTGAGTTGGATGCATTTTGATGAAAAGGACTGAACTGTAAGATGGTTGTAATTTTTATGGCTTTTAAATGAAAGTCAGAAGTTTGAAGCTCCCAGCTCAGATGATGAGTGCATCAACACAGAGATGTGGCTGGAATGCACATGGGCAGGCAGGCTAGCTGGCATCTCTGCTGAACTCGAGCATTATATATATGCTTCAGTATGGTAAGTATCACAGGATTGAACAGCAGCATCACTGGCCAGCCTGTACAGCTAGTGTCAAAACCTTGTTTCACTACATTTTCAAGGCTATCCAAGTTGGTCACTGGTAAGATGAAGACCACCAATAGGTACAGGTGGCCTTCAGTGCATCCTCCCTTCTGGAGATCATTTGTGCAGAGCAAGATTGGTGGTTTCTTGCTCTGTTTTATGGACACACCCGTCTGGACTTGAACTGGACTTTGCTGTGCCTCTGCTGTTTGCCATTAAATAGGAGCACACCAGTTGCAATAACACTGTGAAAGGTAATTGACTTGTAATGGTCCTCAGATGTTCATTGACAAACATAAGGAAAATCATAGGGTTTTCCCAGTGCTCAGACCAAAAATTCATGTAATAGAAAAGGTCAGGCAGTTTTCTCTGGGGGCTTTTTTTGGTTTTTTTAAATAGGACACTGCACACATTCAGAATAAGTAGTGGTCCTCTTAGACGATGTCCAGGTAAGTTGCAATGGGCCAATGCAGTATGCTAGAAACAAATTCTTACTCATTTGTAAGGTTGATCCTCTCCTCTGTTCTTGAGCAAGTGTTCATCATTTCCATTTTTCCCACCACAAAGGTGAAATTAGAACTGCTTATCTCAAGCATTTAGATGAAGGATTGTAGGAGTATCAGGTGTAATTTTTTCATTTTTAAAGTATTGGCACAAGTCAATCCATGCAGAAAATATAGTGCAAAAATTACATAGTTGCAAGACTGTAAATTGCTTTTTCTTTTCTTATTTTAGCTGGTTCCTCTCATGCAAAAAAACCTCCAGTCTCCAAGCCTTCATCGTCAGCATCTCCTTCATCCGCATCATCTCATCCCAAAGCCGCTAAGGAGACTTCCAGCAAATCAGGCCCATCAGGGACTCCCAGGGGCAAGAAAAAAACTGGGAAACAGTCAGCCCCACGAACAGCACCAGATGGGGCTGCTTCTTCCCCTTCAGGTGCCACAGCCAACAGTTTGGAAGTGAAGGCAGAAAAACCCAAGTCTGAGCAACCTTCCATAGTAATTTTTGAAACGGAGGATGTAGATCAATTGAGCAAACTTGTTGTTCCCCCTCCTCCCACTGCTGCCCCTCCTCCACCTCCACTTCCACCTCCTTTTCCTGCTGCAGCTAGTCAGCCTGCTGTCTCCTCAGATGCCCAAGATGTGTCAGACAGCTGTGTGGCAGGGCCATACAGCCCTGGATCAGCCCTTACTAAACCTCTTCTCCAGACTGAGCATGGCACAGATGACAGCCTGAGCTGTACAGCCCTAGCCAGCAGTCCAGATGCTAGTGGAGAAGACAGAGAAAGGTAAGACGGTATGGCTGTCTTGGGTGAGTGGTAAGACCACATTTCTATGCAAGGGACGTTGTAGGCATATGGGGATCTCTTCTCTTTCTTCGACTGGTAATAGTTCATGTTGCATCCCAGCACAGTTTGTTCCTTTCTAGTGCCTTTGAGACATTCACCTGCAGTACCTCATGTTTCCCCAGAAGGTCATTGCTCATAACCTGCCTTTTACGTCATTGCGTGGCTGACACTGCAGTCAGCAGATGAGCTAGTAGCTGATGACACTTTTATTTCTCTCTCATAAAGGCAAAGAAGAAATCATGCTTAAGTACAAGAGGGTTTTACTTCTTTTTTGTGAATGTCATTAAACATCTCGCTGCTAAATCTCTCAATGCACACTTGAAAATGAGGGTTTCAGGCTCCAATTAGTAGGTGTTTGGTCTGTCACTGCCTAGTAGCTTGTCTACATCTCAGATACTGTAAAAACTAGTCAAGAAAAAGGTCATAATTATATTTTTAAAGCAAAATAGTTGGCAGCAAAGTGAAACTGGCTTATTAATTTGTCTTTTCCCTGCCATGAGAACCAGCATCTTTTATATAAACCCAAGAGGGTTTAGTCTAGGTGCCATTAGCCTGGAGACCTTCCTTTAAATCCTTGCTGATACATCTGTGATAGCATTATGTTCCTGTGGTCCATTTCCCCTTGCTCTACCCTTCCTTTACATAAAGTTTTTCCCAAGGCAAAGGGCAATCTGCTGCAGATTTACATGTTCATCAGTGATGGCATGAGCATTTTGGACTCAACAGCAGTGAAACTGCATTGACAATAAACAGGGTTAGGCTTCCAGAACAGGAAGCTTTGCACTACCGTCTCTCTCCCAACTCACTCCTCTAACCCCAACCTTATTAACTGCTTTTCTCTTCTTATTAGCTTTTATGTGCTGTTTGTCCCATCCTACAAGAAATAAAAAATAATTAGGATTTTTCTTTATACAGTCTTTGCAGCACCTCATTCCAGATTGTTGGCATCTTTTTTCCTAACATGCATACATAGATACATACACACATCTCCATATGTTATAAATGTTTTATATATGTACATTTTTATAAGGGAGTTAGTTTGAATAATGGAACTTTTGTTTTCATACGTGCTTATACAATCTGTCTCCCATTTGTGTTTGGTGCTGCTTGCATTAATGTGTCACCATGTCTGTTATGAATTAACAGCTTGGCTACCAAAGAAGACCAAGAAGTGGAGGCACCAGACCAGGCACACTCTGATTTGGTGGAGGAGGCTTCTGATGCTGCTGCCCCTCCTGAGAGTGAAAGTAGCAGAGAGAGCCATGGCAGTGACTCGGACTCAGATGGGCCCATACTGTACACAGATGATGACGATGATGACGATGATGAGAATGCAAGTGCTGAAAGTAAGCACCCTGCTGCGAAGCTGCAGGCTAACATTTGCCCACTGCTTTATGTGAGCATGCCTGACCCATGCTAGTGCAAAGCAAAGAGAGCTATGGCTGCAGGGGGTGGTTTTAGGGGATTTAGTATTTTGTTGCTACTGAGAAATGAGTGTCCTGCTTCTCCCAGATAGTTGTGATCAGAAACCTCCTGGGACCTGTGCAGTGGTGAGAGCAGATCAAGCATTGCTGGGTGGGAGTGGAGGTGGGAAGAACAGGTTCAGAAGAACATGAGGATGGAACAGGGCCCCCACATTAGGGCATCACATTGATTTGGCTTGCCCATGTCGTGAGTTCCTTGTGGGAGTTATGGGCTGTGGTGGATGACAGAGGAAGCCCATCAGTCAGCAGCTTCACTGTCTGAAAGTCATTTGTTCTTTTTTGGTTTAAGCATTGGAGCACCTTAGCATCTGCATCTACGTCTGAGGTCATGACTCCATCATCACCCTAACTGGGCAGAAGCCCCTGCTGCTGCTGAAGGGGCTGTCCTGCTCCTAGCTGTTCATTCTTCCTTTGGGCCAGTGCTCCTATTTATTTTTGCAGCAGTGGCTGTTGGTGAGCTGATTTTCAGTTAGATCAGTGGTTCCCTGATCTAGCTCACCCAATGGCTGCTCCATTGCTCGGGTAAAGAAGGTGGCAGCAGCAGGCTGTCACAGATAGAGAGGAGGGCAGCCCTAACTCTACCCCCTTCAGGGTCGCCTTATGTCACTATAAAATCATCACTGAACCATGGCTTGGGAGCCTTGCTCACAGCTGTTCCAGATGAGGTGCTTCGCTGTGCTTAGCAGGGAAGGCCTGAACACCAAAGCACTGTGTACCAAAGTGAGGTGAGGGAAAATGAATGTGGTTTTTTATCTTGCCCCTGGTGCAGCAGAAGGTGACATGCCAAGTGGCTCAAGAGGCTGAAGCGTTCTGCAGTTCTGTGTTGGGTTTAAATACAATCCAAAGTGGTAGCAACCAGAAATCCATGTATTCAGACAGCAGCACAGTGAGCTGGGAGCCTGTGGTCTTACCAAATTCCCTTCCATGGTGAAAATCTGCCAACCTAGGACAATTGTAGTCCACTTCAGTCAGAATGTCAAGACACAAGGGAAGGACTAAAGGCCGTGAAAACTACCCTTCCTTCCATAGCTGGCTGCAAGTAATGCTGACCTGCAAGGCCCTCGTTCCTACTACGTCTGGAATGAATAACATGCTGCTTCAGTGTCTGGGGTTTCTGGCCTAGGTTATTTTACAAGCACTCAGAGCACTTTTCTAAGCTGTAATTTTTGCTTTAATTTAAAAATAAGTTGAAGATGAAAAGCACTATAAAAGAACTAAGTGGTATTTGCTTGAATAAAAATGAAAGAATGAGGGAAATGGTGATAGAATGAGACTAAATCATTTAAGGCCAAAGAAAAAGAGCAGCAGGTTACTAAATATACTAAGTAGATAAATGAGCCAACCTGTAATGCATTAGACTTCAAAGAAACTTAAGTGTAGATTTGTCATTTTTATCCTATCACTTTACAGATGATAAGTGATGTTTGTATCAATTTGGCTGGTAGCTTTTTCTTCCAAGCTTTTTAGGTTTTTATTTTTGTGAACTGAGTTAAAATTTTTCTTTTGATGTTAATTAAAATTCCTTTCCTGCATGTGGGAACAAGGTTGCTTTGGGGAGGTTACTCTGTGTCTGTAACCTAAGAATGAATGAACTATATCTACCCTACTCCTCCTTTCCTCAGGCTCTTTGGCAAGTAAAATTCGTCGTAGGGATACTCTTGCTATCAAACTTGGCAACAGACCATCTAAGAAAGAATTAGAAGACAAAAACATCTTGCAGCGTACATCTGAAGAGGAGAGGCAGGAAATCAGACATCAGATTGGAACGAAGCTAGTGAGGTATCAGTAGCAGGGTAAATGTGGTTTTACTGGGTGGAGGTGGAGGAAGAGAATTGAGAACACTGGGTTCATGTTTTAAATGCAGCCCAATATGCACTGCAGGAGCTTTGTGGTACAGCTATCTGGAAAACAGTATTTTTATTTCCCACAAAACTTTAAAATGCCCTGCAAGAAACAAATTTGAGAGCTTCTGGGTTGTTTGGTTAAAACAGGACAAAAGGAAAGAAGAGGAAGAGGATAAAAATGAATCCACAATAATCAATGCCATGGTTCAAGTTTTTTCTCAAATTGGTTAGCAGGAACTTTTACTTGTATGTATAACCATCCCAGACAAAGTAGTAGTTCCTGACACACAGAGCATGCCTGTGCATGTCTGTCCCTTCTGACCCTCCCCATTTTCCTTTTGCTTTCTAATTCCTCCATTATTCATGTGCTGGTTCCAGCAAATGAAATGGTAGGAGGCTGACTTTGCAGGTCAGTGTTTAGTTTTTTACTGTGCCCACCTCTAAGGCATGTCTTTTTCATGCTGCTTAACTGCTATGGGATATATGTTACTTTCTCCTTCTGGATTTGAGAACATTGCTTAAAAATTCACTTGTCTTTTTAGAAGCCTTTTTTTAAAAAAATCCTCATGTTAATTTTGGCTTTCATGGTCTCTGAGAATAGACTACAGCCTATCTGTATTTTCCCAGACCTGTCCTTGTTTCTTTTGGGCTCAGAAATGTGGTCCAGGCAGATTTGGAGGATGTCCTGTGTTTGTTGGAGATTCCAGATATAGGGTGGTCCGTCCGTACTGCTCCAGCACAGACTGCAGCAGCCCTGCAATGCATTGAAGATGAGTTGCTCTGTGAACTGGGTGGCTGGCTAAGGCAGCTATTTCATTACCTAACAGTAAGAGTGATACATCTATTGTGTGGAGCCCAAGGGTCATTTTTCTTCTGCTAATAAAGTGGTGTGGTTGTTATCACCACTTTCCTGGCTGAATCCCAGCTCCAGTGATTACATCCTGCTTGTTGGTGCTCCCCTGGGGGATGGAACTGCAGAATTTGCTTTGCTTCCTGCCCTGAGCTCCTTGCACAGGGACATTGTAAGTTTTGCCAGAGAGCTGCCATGCTTCACACAGCTTGCTTTGGTGGCAAGAGACAATGTCTATGTGTGTCAGGGCTGTGCTCATACCTAAAAGCACAACCAAGTTTGATGCCAGTTCTTTAAAAATCCCTGGTGTGGTGGTTAGCACCTGGCAGCATCGAGGTCTGGTGGGAAATCTGTCCCCACAGCTCAGTCAGGGTCAGGTCAGGTCCAGCCTGGGACTTCCTACAGCTGGGGCTGGTCATCTGTGATAAACCTGCCAGTCCTCTCGGACACATCTAGATGTCCAAGCATGATTTGAATGGGATGAGTTTCAGGAGGCTGAAGATAATCCACAGTGAACTCTGTGAACATTGCTGGATAGAGAGGCATCTCTAACACATACATAAAGTAAGTTTTACTGCTGAAATTTTTCTCCCTCGTTTTCTCAAGTGAACTTGTTTAGTAAACACAGAAACAACATCAACCATGTTCTCCATTGTACAAACCAGAAAATTAATACTTCAGTTTGGGTTTGTTGTAATGACAGTTGTTATTTTTAGGTAACTAAATAAAATTAAGTTTCAGTTAGAGCTCCCAGTTGTATTGTACATACAAATCCGTGAGAAATTAACAGCTTATTGTTTTTGTTGGGGTTTTTGAAAAGAAATTTTTAAGATTTGCATTCCAAACATCTGAGAATAGTCTTAAGATTTCACTACTTACTGTAATGATGGCACGTGGGAACAAAATGGCTTTATGAATTCTTCAATAAAATTATGCCTATGAGGAATTTAAATTTGCTGGTACAACTTTTGTAATATTATTCAAGTATTAGTTATTTACCTGTTTAAGTGGCAACAGTACATCTTTTAATACAAACAGCCACACTGTGGTTACATGTGCAGTCATTGTAACTGTCTGGAAATTACTTCAGCTGTTTGCTGGCAAAGAACAGCACACCCATATGTGAAAGAACTTTTAACATCACAAAATTTATTCTGTATTGCAAATTCATGTTACAGATCTTAATATATTATTTGGATCTAGTTTTAAATGTCACTCACTTTGTTCTCACAGGAGACTTAGCCAGAGGCCTACAACTGAAGAGCTGGAGCAAAGGAATATTCTGAAGCGTAAGTATTTTATTCTTGTTGCAGCTAGTATTTACTTAGGAAGTGAGCATATGTTGGACTCGTGGAAGCCCATCATTTCTGCTCCAGTATTAGATCCATAACTGGAGAGGAATGATGTTCTAGAAAATAATGTGTCAACACTTGGTTTATGTACTAACCTGTTACTGTAGCTGTGAAAAATGCACTTATTCAATATGCCAAATTTTTCTTGTCACAATCTCACTTCTTGAAGCTGATCCCAAAGACCAGGAATGACTTAGGTACCCCTTAGAAGTAGTTCTAGGCTGGTTAACCTTCCACATAATTTTGAGGAGGAGGAGGAAGGAATATCAGTAGGAGGTGAAGGTAGGAGGGAAGGGCAGAGGTTGGAAGGAGGAGTAGAAAGAGGAAAGGTGAAGTGTTCAGGGAAAGGTCAATAGGTATATGCCAACTCCTTCAGCATGCTGGACTTCATATTCACTTCTGGTATCAATGTCTTCTGCACTGAAACCTGCATGAGATGTTCTCACTGTACCTTCCCATTGATAAATCCTTTTTCAATATCTGTGCTGAAAAAAAAGTCTGTAATTCAAATAGTCAGGGGCAGAGGAACGAAGTACATTGGATGTTCACCCTCTACCTATTCCCCCATTTACTTATGTTGGTTTTGTTTTTAGGCTGGCAAACTCTGCAGAACAGGCATTTTTTTGTCTTCCTTTATGAGTGTTTTCATAATAATGATGTTACCTAAACACACAGTGTTAACAGTTGTCATGCCCAGCTCCATCTAGCCCTGTGTTCTTTCTGCAGGGATAGCTAGTATGTGATGGTTGAGTAGAAGAAATAAATGAAGAAAATGCACAGGCAAGTCTTTGACACATAGCAAGAAATCAAAAACTCATCTATTCTTATTTCATGAGAACTTTTCTCACCTCATGGAAGAGCAGGTGTAATGCTGTTATTTCCCACAATTATTAGAAAAGTTGGAGTTCTTCTGTGCAGCCCTGGTGCACAGCGTAATGGAAGGAAAGAAAACGGGCTGTTTACCTGACTGTGTCCATGGACTGATGACTGTCACTTTATCAGGCCAGCAAATCCGAGTGACAGCAATTACTGGCTTTCAGGCAACCATCCATGCTAATAAAATCTTACTTTTATTGTCTGAGTTCTCAAGTGCCAAATAATGCCATATCTTGCTGAAAATGGAAGCTACTCCATGTGTGCACAGGAGAGGGGTTAGGGGACTCCTCTCCAGCACATAATGTGAAGAGACTTTCTAAGACTATAATTTCTGAACCTCTAGATTGCATAGATAAATAAAGATAAAATGTGAAATAGCAACTTTTTTCTATATGACAGGTTGCTTATGCTGGACTGTATGAGAAAGGTCATCTCTAAACATCTTTGGTGGGCCAGGATGTGGCCTCTGAGCTGGGAGCACCCGCTGGGCTCCCTTATTGCCCTGTCTCGCTTATCTCCAGATAACTAACCTAGCAGCAAACCTGTGATGTATTTAATATCCCTTTTGCCATTGTTTATTCCATTCACTGATTTTGCAATAAGTAGCTCAAGACTGGAAAGCAGTTGATAGATTTCTTCTCCTGTTTCAGCTTGTTTACTTTAAGCTCCTGGCAGTGTACCAGGCTTTGCACTCAGTGCCTCCCGCTGTCCTCCCCTGCTGCTGCCGGGGGCTGTCTTAAAGAGGCAAGGGAGAGCAAAAAGTAAAGGCTAGGAAGCAGCATTGTAAATCACAGAAAAACACAGAGTCCTTGGTGAGCACGTGGAGAATACAAAACTGCCTTTTGCTTATCACTGAGATATAAAATATTTCAAGTTGAAAGTGATCTGTGAAAAGCAAGGCGAACCAAAGCAAGCTGAGGTTTGTGGTGACAGCCTGATTCAGAGCCACTGCAGGGTGCAAGTTCTCTCTCAGCCCTAAGGCACTCATATTTTTTATCAAAATTATTGCATTCCCTTCCTGTGGATCATTTGAAAATGTTTACATGTCTTAAATGCCTTTGTTGGTGTAGTCAGCTTTTGTGAGTAGGTTGGGATTTCTTTCATAAAGTTTCCTTCCTCTTATTTTCAAGCAGTGGATGGGGAGAAGGGGTTATATTATTGCGTATATATAAACTGCAGCTAAGGGGAAGTATTGTTTTGAGCAATATTTATCAGACTTTGTGGTTACATTAAGTGGTAAAGGTCCAAATGTTTACTTCAGGATTAAGTTCAGCTCAAACCTTTCAAGAGGTTCAGAAAAAAAATTGTATTTTTATCTTTTTTTTGTATTTCCAGTTAGTAAGGAAGTCTGTTTTGCAAGAAGTTTTGTTTTGATAATATTTAAAGATAAACCAGTTAATGAAAATCCCGTGACCATGTATGATCGCAAGACATTGCAGGAGGATGTCTATAAAAACTGTTGGATTAAACTGTTCAGACTTCTGAGACTTCCCACACTAAAATACAGTTACGATAACACGAGTCCACTTGAAGGAATACATAAAGCCTTGTGTTTCTTGTGTACTGGCTTTGAACCAATAGTATTTATAGTATTGCGTTATGGCAAAGAAACCTTTTAGTCTTCAGGAATTTCAGATTAAGATGACTATTTTTTCCTGTATTTTTAAGGAATAGTGAAATTCTTGCACAGTGCACCTGCATGCCTGCCAGTAATGGCTTTGTAGAAAACAGAGTTTAGCTCTTGATGGTGGTTAAGGAATATTAATGGTTATCTTTGCTTGAAAAGCACGGGAAGAGAAACTACTTTGTGCATCCCAGGGCACTGCAAGAGGCAAGCATTTTGTTTGTCTTTTCTTTCTCTTTGCCTAACAAGCCCACAGAGAAGTCTAAACATAGCTAATCCCATAGGGACACAATGGAAAGTTCGGTTTTATGCTTCAAGAGTACTTTCTGGTCAAGAACAGAGCAGTCCTCAGGCAGGATAATTTCTCTGTTCTCTTTCCCCCTTCTGCTACAAAATGAATGTCCCACAGAACAGAAGGTGACCAAGTTTGATATGGCAGATGTTGTGGGAGCAGTAATGCATAGATGCCAGGGAAGCTGCTTGTTTGACTTTGGCCAGTCTGTTTAACTTGACGGCCACAATAAGTGATGCAAAACAAAATTGTTTCAGTTAGGAGTCAAATCCCAGGTTGACCTCATAGGAGCTGTAGGCAGGGAAGGAGGGAAGCCGTAGTTTTGCTGGGATCCAACTGTAGACTTCTGCAAGCAAAGGGTGCTTGCTGGGCTGGTGTTTTGCCAGTACAGCAGCAGCAGGACATCTGAGGAGGGGACTTGCAGCTGGGAACGCTGTGTTTATATTTTCGTTATCCACATCACACAGATTAGATCTGCTTTTAAGGTGGAAAGCAGTCAGAAATGTGTTCCTGTGCATTAATGTGTTCCTGTTTGGGCAAGTGAGTCAGTTCATACCTGCAGCCAAACCTTGGCCCTCTGGCTGGAATTTTCCACAACACCTGAGGGAACCAGGAGCACAAGACTCATTATTTTTAGCACCACACATCTTAACTCACTACAGCAACTTTCAAAACTTTTACCTTAAAAGACCAAAAATACGCTGTAGGTTTTCCTGTTTGTAGGAGTTTGTATCCAGGCAGTGTTTCTGTAGCACTAGGCTTAAAGCAACACCCTGCCCAGCAGAGTGGGAAATGGGTGCTTTAGGTGCAAGTTGATGCCAGGACACAGGGCCATTTGCCAAACAGCAGATTCAGTATGTTAGCAGTAGCCACCAGATTTCACTCCATTTCCTTTAGCTCTTGAGTTTTACTCCTGTAAGTAAACCAGCTTGAATGTGTAATGCATGTCCTGCCCCCTGACCTTTCATGCAGAAGACTACTTGTTCCCCACGGGTTCGATCCCCTCCTGTTTTGCCAAGGAGTGAAGGAAGCTCCTGGTGCCTCCTGTTGGCATTGTCCTCCAAAGGCTGGGCTGCCAGCTCTCCTCAGTGGCCTGGTCCAGGACCTTCCCAGCAACTAAGATGATGGCCTTGCTCATTGCCCATTTTTGTGTGTTTCCCCTTGTCCAGCTATCCCTTTGTGCAGTCATCTGCTACCCACAGGGAGGTAGCTTCACAGCTTGGGATAGGCAGCTAACCTTTAACCTTCCCAAATGTCCAGATCAGCTCTTTTAAGGTATTGTATCTTCCCCCAAAGTATAGAAAAACAGTATTTCAGGAGGCCATGCTGTTGGTACTTGATCCCTAAGGTATGCATTAAGTAGTGTGAGCCCCTGTTTTTCCATCCAGCATCTTATTGCTGCTTCTAAGGAGACAACATGGCTTAGATAGCAAAGAAATGCCAAGATATGAATAATGCACAATGTATTTTACAAACTAAATTAAGAGAAGGTTAGTACAGTGACATGTATATTCAGCTGCTTTTTTCTCTGCTGTGTCTGCTGCTGGAGAGTTTCTGAGGTAGGACTTAGGCTACTCCATTCATGGCGGGACAGAATTTTTTTATGTCAGATGATTGCAGGTGAATGGAACCCCAAATTAATAATTTGTGTTTAATTACCTCAGCTACTCTGTCTATTGATTGCAAAGACATCGTGTTAAAACAAAAGCCTACAGGTGATTTATCTGTCCTAAAACCACTAGAGAGCTTTCGATTTTGTTAGGTGAAGATGTTACGAAAAGAGTTCTAATTTAAAATCTTAAGTCCTTGTTTACTGATAAATGTATTAATTAAAAACATTCAAATGTAGATTAATCTATAACTTTCCATACTTCAGTTTGGTTCATTTACCATTCCTCTATGGAAACAGCCCATCCATTTCTTCTCCATTTAAGAGAAAACCTATTAATAAACCATAAATTACATCCATGTTTCAGTATCTCAGTAAAACCACCACCAACACGAGACCCAGCCTAATCCTGGCAGCAAGCCTGTGCAAGTGCATCTTGCTTTTGGAAGCCTGGCCTTGGTGTTGAACTCCTCACAGAGCAGATCTAGGGCTGGCACTGCCTTTTTCCTACTGTAGCTTTCTTCTTTCTAATTTTTATAATTTGTCCTCTCGCCCTTTCCCTTATATTCTTCTGACATGAAAGCCTTTGAGTTAGCAAAGGAAATCTGAGGCTACCACAAGGTGTCCTGTCATAGCATTGCCTCCAGTGTATCAGTCATGATACACTCTTCTGTGGCCAGGTTACCTATACCAAGACAGCAGGTTGGCCATGGCAAACGGGGCAAATATGACTATACCAGGATTTAAAGCTGCCTTTACATTTATACAGGTTGGCTGTATCCACAATAAATTAAAGCCTTTAAATTTATAGTTAGCCTTGAACTGTGATATGGAGTCCATAATCCCCAACTATGAATAAGACAGGATCAGAATTTTATGGATATCTCTAGATGGGATATTTCAGCCACAAAACTTTGCATATAACCATCAGAGGTGGACTGAGAGTGCAAGTAGCATTCTTCAAACTGTATAGCAATTTTAAAAAATGCTGAGCCCCTATGAATATGTGTTTGTAAATGTGCTTTTCACTGGCACTCAAGAAATCCAAGTTTGGTTAGCACAGAAATTTGTTAAAAGCACGTTTCAGTCACATGCCCAAATACATTAAAAAATGCACATCTAATTTTCTGCTGTACTTGTTCATTTGGTCTAGGCAGTGGCCCTTGACCAGGAGGGCCTGAGTGCTGAATCATATGACCCCATTTTAAAATAAAAAAAACCAAAAAACCTCAAGTAACAAAACCAGTTTACACTTACAAATGGCAGTGAAACAAATGTCATTGATTCATTGTATCCTGTAGCAATAGAGGACACTTGACTGATTCAGATACTTAGAGCAAGCTTTTTTCTTGACACTTATGAATAATTAGACTTACTCTAAATCAATAGATGGCATGTTGGAAGCAAAAGCAACAGTGATTTTAATGTTAGAGTAAGTAATTGAAACATCAGGCAGCTCTTTCAGGGTACTTGCTTGCTGTTACACAGAAAGGAAATGACAGGCACCTCCTGTTCACTGTGCTCATGACCCACAGTTGTGACTTGAGGTGTCTACAGAATCAGGGGAAATGAGGATAGGGAAAAGAATGAGAGCATATGAAATTCAAAAAGCAGACAATATGTGCAGGATTCTGCAGAAATGTGAGGAAACATGAGCCAGGGCTTGAAGTTCTGAAGCTTTCAACCAAGAGAAATACAGTATGTGCAGTTATGATATTTAAATATTCACTCCTTTTTATCTCTTCTGAAAACAGAGAAGAATGAAGAAGAGGAACAGGAAGCCAAAAGAGAAATAAAACGTAAACTCAGTAGAAAGGTGACGATGTGTTTTTTGTATTGTGTATTTGTGTACATAAAATTATATTTTATAAGATTCTAAAAATTGGTGTACAAACATTACCGCAAATGTCCATCAGTCATGCCCCCAGATTAGAAATCTGCTTCAAAAGGAGTACAAGCCAAGTCCATCTTGGGGGAAACCCCATCCTGTCCAGCTCCCCATACCTGGAAACGCATACAGATCTGGCCATGCTTAGTATTTGTCTCTGTGGGCAGGAGAGTGACACGTTGCCTCTGTGAGCATGACCACTGCTGCCACTTATGTTCAGGGGCACCCTCACCTGTAGATCCACTCATCCCTAGAGCAACAGAGAGGACAGCAAAGCAATGTGGGCTCCACAAAATCCCTTCACTGCTCTTCTAACCACGTCAGTGGTCTTAGCTTCTGCAGGTGGGATCATGCTCATTGTCCCTGGAAATGGAGCAGTTACAGATCTGCTATTCTAGGAGAGAATGAGGGGAGTTTTCCTAAGTATCCCTAGTCTGCCCTTCTCTGCAAAAATAGTTTCCTTAATATGATCATCCTTAATTAATTAAAGTGAATATTGTTTGAGGTAACTGAAACAATGTGGCATCATAATGACCCCCAGATGGTCAAAACCAGTTTTTTTACTTAAGCAGGCACTTACAAATCCTGCTTATTTTTAGTATTACAGTTTAACACAGCAGACTATAATCATCAATGCAAATGGCCTAGTGGGGTAAATGCTGTGACAGTTGCAAAGTCACAATTAATATTGCAGGGATAACTGTCATGATTCTCTGTGACCTGCCCAAAAAAGACTATTTTTATAATTGAAGAAATTAGGTTGTGCTGCTTCCCCATTCCTGTGCAGCACTCCCAGGATGGTGCCTTTTTTTAGACACCTGAAAGTGACCCTGTTTAGAAATACCATTAAAGTTCTCTTGAGATTGCATCATACCCTCAGCTTTTATTTTATTTTCTTTCATCTTATTAAGCATACTATTTTCTGCCTTTCGCTTACAGCTGAGTCTGAGGCCTACAGTGGCTGAACTTCAGGCAAGAAGAATCCTTCGATTTAATGAGTATGTGGAGGTCACGGATTCTCCAGATTACGACCGTCGTGCTGACAAGCCTTGGGCCAGGTTAACTCCTGCAGACAAGGCAAGGGACAAATGTAGATGATAAGGAGTTGCTTGCATCTGTCACTTTTGGGGGGCTCTCCTCTGGTTTACATTTACTTGATGCTGGCATCACGAATGACATCTGCTGGAGACAGTGAGATTGTCATGGTACTACTGTGCAGCTACTGCTTGCAGCTAAGAAAATCCACTCGAGTGCCTAGTATTTGCCACCTCTGTTACTGCAGTTCAGGCCAAAATTTTTAATTTTTTTTCCTGATTTTTCTAATTTTTAAATCCTTCCTAAGCCAGCTACATGCTTAGCAAAGATGGCCATGATCAGTGGAATTTGGGCAGTGTTTTGCAGGCTGAAGTCTGTGTCACTGCCACCAAGACTTACTTGGAGTGAAAAAAGGTAGAAGCTGCTCCACTCTCCTCATGGTTCTTGGCCACAACCACCAGGGCAGGAGCTGATCATGTGCATGCAGCACACCTTCTTGGGAAGTTTGCCCCTAAGATGCTGTAGTTCATAGTTCCTAACTACTAAGTATGAGACAAATGATTCTGTGATTCTTGTATAAAAAACAGATCACTTAAAGATTACCATAAAATACTCTTCCATTTCCCTCCTATACCACTTAATAAAAGGAAAGCTGTAGGATTTAGGTCGCTAAAAGTGGTGACCCTTTTATCACTGGGTCTGAAACAACTTTTACGGAAGCCCTATGAGATGTGCTTGACATGAAAAGTGATGTGTACAAGAACCCATTGTCTTTTAGATAGTGAAGCACTGACTTTATTTCAGCTTGTGTTTTAATGGTAAAAGATTGCCTGCTCGTCTGATAATCAAATGAGAATCTCATATCAAGTCAAGGTGGAGACAATAAAAATGTAGCCAGAAGTGTTTGCAGATGTTGGTTCTGGGAGGTACTGAGCACTCTCTAGCCCTAACATAGTCTGTAGGAGGTTAGAGCACCCAGCACCTCCACTTTGACCTAGGTCCAACCGGGGTAAACTGCACTAGAAAAAGCAACGAAGTTTCCTACCTACTTCAGGATAGCAGTTTTTAACCTCATGTCATTTTGCAAGGACCAGGTGCTCAAGGCTAGCTCTGTGAGCCCCATGTTTGTTGGCCTCAGTAGAAAGGCAGACCCTGGGTTGCCTGGAAACTCCCTTGCCCTTTTTTTTTTCCCAGGGAAGTCGCTCTTCTAATTCCAGTGGGAGCAGAAAATTGTGCTGTAACTGTATTACAGAGTGGGAGCTCTGGTGTCTTTGCTGCTGGTTCAGTGCTCAGAAATGCTCTTCACCAGCTATTGCAGCAGACTCGTGGAATCATGCTGCTGTGGCTAAGCAGAACCATCCCCTGCTTAAAATGAAGTTTCTGATTTATGAGACTGCAGTCTGGCAATGCTATAATTTTATCATGCTGCTTGTCTGTTCTGCATGGAACGGCATGCACACCAGGTGACATTTCTTTAGGGATTAATGAAATGATACTGCCTTTAGTTAAAATGGTGAAAGAAAAGAGTAAGTAAGAATAAACTGTCATTTCCTTCCACTGTGTGGCATAGAAACAAAACTCATTATAGTATATATTAGAATATTTCAGAAATTTTATTTATTAATTGATGAAGTAAACTGCTTATCAGTCTTCTAACAAAAGCAACAAGGCATTTACAAAGTATGCTGAATTTCTGCTGTTCCTTAGTATCTGCTAACTGAAAACACAAACCTGCAATGTCCAAATATTTCATGTCATTTTACATAAAACTAATCAAACCAAGTGACTAATTACACTTAAAAAAACCTGCTGTTCATCTTGCATTCCTGAAGTGCTGTCTCCACTGGGGAGGTACAAGGCCCCTGCTGTGTGCACAGTGCCTGTGCAGGCAGCATGACTCACCGGCTCCTCAGGGGCTGTGCCTGGAGATAAAACCCCTCCTAGCTTCGTGCCCAGCAAGTGATTGTTGAGGAAACCAAATCCCTTGCCCATTTTTGTCTGTGGCAAGTGCCATATTTTGGTGGGGGCTTGGTTCACCCGTTGCAGTAGATTTGGTATTTATGCTTTAGGTTTCTTTGTAGTGTGTGGCAGCTTTGAACTGTTGTAACTGAAAAGAGTCATTCATGCTGATGATCTGAAATGTGTGACAGCTGTGGATTACAGTAAGGGAGACTGGAACTGGGAACTGTAAGGAACCTGCAAGAGTAGGGCCAGGCTCCTTTCAGACTCTTTACTTTCCTTAAAGTTCATACTTCTTATGGTTGCATATATCATTATTGTTCATTAGGCAGCAATACGGAAAGAACTGAATGAATTTAAAAGCACAGAAATGGAAGTACATGAGGAAAGTCGGCAATTTACCAGGTGGGTGAATCCTTCTTCTTGCATAAGTGTGAGAGGTGAGTATGACAGCAGCCCTCTGCCTTTCTGCAAGCCTGATGTTTCTGCAACACTTGATGTTAGGGTTGGCCAGGATTGCGTACATAGTATTGTTGTCTTTGCATCCACACAGAATTAGGTCATATTAAAATAGTTACCTAAGACTGAGTGCCTTCTGTTTCCTGCTACTGTTTCAACCAAATTCAGGACCTGAGCTAGTGAGTGTGACTCTTCTAATTGAAGAGTGTGTCAGAAGGAAAATTCACAATGGGAGATGAGTGTTTCATGGATCTCCTACTTCATTGCTTGATTTCACAACTTCAATGATTTCTTTCTCACCAAAACATGGATTCTTTTCATAATAATGTCAAGTCATTTCTGCATAGATACAACATGAATAAACTCATTTTCCAAAATTCAAACTAGTTTCACAAACAGCAAACCTAAGCCAGGGGATGAACCAAGAGACAGGGTTTTAATTTAGTGTTGCATTCTGACCATTACAAAATGTCCTTTTCAAACATGGAGATGTATATTTTCATTTGGCATCTTATGTAATTTTCAGTTAGTAGGTGGCATGTATTTTTCAGAATATATAAAAATACTACTTTTTAAAAAATGGGCATCCCAAGGGAGAGAATAAAAATAGCAGGTATAGAAACCAACCCCCTGCTTACATTGTTACATTTCTTGTGTGGCAATAACAAAGCATAAGTACAGATAGGCATGAGTCATACAAAAAGAATGGATATTTTTTCATGAGACTCGAGAACAGTTGAGACTGATTACAGTTGGATTCTTGAAAGCTGAAGCAGGAATTCAGTGGTGTGACAAACCAGTTAAAAAGTGAAATTTGTTTTCAAGGAGGGCCTTGGAAAATGGACTGAAAAGTAGGCACAGCCAAACTGTGATAAATATAGGCAATGATTCTATAGAGTCCTGGAAGAATTTCAACCAAAGA